TTTCATAAATATATTGGTATATAATCGTACCTTGGTACGGTTTGGTTAGGGTTTTCCTGTATCTTGTATTATTACATTTGTTTAATAATTTCACCTGAGTGACACCTGAGAGAAAATCCCTCACAGTTGCATGCTCCGTTATTTCCGAGAAATACAGACAGAAGGTGAATTAAACACAGGTATGAGAACACACAGATGAACATCTAAGGGAGGTACAGTGGTTCATGGTACAGTGGTTCATGGTACAGTGGTTCATGGTACAGTGGTTCACGGTACAGTGGTTCATGGTACAGTGGTTCATGGTACAGTGGTTCATGGTACAGTGGTTCATGGTACAGTGGTTCATGGTACAGTGGTTCATGGTACAGTGGTTCATGGTACAGTGGTTCATGGTACAGTGGTTCATGGTACAGTGGTTCATGGTACAGTGGTTCACGGTACAGTGGTTCATGGTACAGTGGTTCATGGTACAGTGGTTCATGGTACAGTGGTTCATGGTACAGTGGTTCACGGTACAGTGGTTCATGGTACAGTGGTTCATGGTACAGTGGTTCATGGTACAGTGGTTCATGGTACAGTGGTTCATGGTACAGTGGTTCATGGTACAGTGGTTCACGGTACAGTGGTTCATGGTACAGTGGTTCATGGTACAGTGGTTCATGGTACAGTGGTTCATGGTACAGTGGTTCATGGTACAGTGGTTCATGGTACAGTGGTTCATGGTACAGTGGTTCATGGTACAGTGGTTCACGGTACAGTGGTTCATGGTACAGTGGTTCACGGTACAGTGGTTCATGGTACAGTGGTCATGGTACAGTGGTTCATGGTACAGTGGTTCATGGTACAGTGGTTCACGGTACAGTGGTTCATGGTACAGTGGTTCATGGTACAGTGGTTCATGGTACAGTGGTTCATGGTACAGTGGTTCACGGTACAGTGGTTCATGGTACAGTGGTTCATGGTACAGTGAACAAGGCAAGAGCGCAGCAGCCCTCATAACAACAAAGACAACGGTGCAGCAGCCCTCATAACAACAAACACAACGGTGCAGCAGCCCTCATAACAACAAACACAACGGTGCAGCAGCCCTCATAACAACAAACACAACGGTGCAGCAGCCCTCATAACAACAAACACAACGGTGCAGCAGCCCTCATAACAACAAACACAACGGTGCAGCAGCCCGCATAACAACAAACACAACGGCGCAGCAGCCCGCATAACAACAAACACAACGGTGCAGCAGCCCTCATAACAACAAACACAACGGTGCAGCAGCCTTCATAACAACAAACACAACGGTGCAGCAGCCCTCATAACAACAAACACAACGGCGCAGTTAATGGCCTGATCCACAAAAGGATGTATCAGAGTCCCACATAAAACTATCAACAAAGAGTTAATACTAAGTGTCATAGACCGAGAGAAACAAACAAACACCAGCGCAGATCCTGTTAATAATAAGCTTGTGGTATATGGAACTGTAATCTATTAGGAAGAACTAGTGGAATATGCAATACATATACAGTAACAATAACATAGACAATAACAATAACATAGACAATAACAATAACATAGACAATAACAATAACATAGACAATAACAATAACATAGACAATGACAATAACATAGACAATAACAATAACATAGACAATAACAATAACATAGACAATAACAATAACATAGACAATAACAATAACATAGACAATAACAATAACATAGACAATAACAATAACATAGACAATAACAATAACATATACAATAACAATAACATAGACAATAACAATAACATAGACAATAACATAGACAATAACAATAACATAGACAATAACAATAACATATACAATAACAATAACATAGACAATAACAATAACATAGACAATAACAATAACATAGACAATAACAATAACATAGACAATAACAATAACATAGACAATAACAATAACATAGACAATAACATATACAATAACATCCTTTATATTGTCCACCGTTTCGAAAGAAAGTCCGTTATACAAGCGTCGTGCTAAAGGAGGCAACCGCAGCGTGTGGAGGAGGTGCGCAACTTATTGGAGACTTAAACCACAATGACAGGAATGTGGATACTAAAAAACATTCTTCTCAGATGTGACTTTAAACACAGGTCACAGGAACGGCTCTGCCTCTACATTAAAAACACTCAAGAGAAATGTGATGCTAAACGCCACAAAAGATGCGTCGGAAGTTCTGATAAACAAACCATAAATAATAAATATTAGTACTTATTTAATAAATGTAGTTATTATATATGTAAATTAGTCTCCACAAGCAAGTTGTCTTCAGTTTGATGACCAAGTAATAAAACTATAATACTGATTGGGGAACTTTATATTTCAGACCCAAACATCTTGCTCAGTTCCCTTCACTTACGGAACCGTTAATGGAAATCTGTAGAAAATATGGTTATATCAGAGAGTCCCAGGAAGTAGTCTAGGTGAACATACCAATGACCTTTTATGTCTGACATATTTTCTTCAAACCAGCAAATAGTTGAACCATGTAGAAAATAAAATTTCATAGACCTTATTCCTATTTCATAGATTCCAAACGTTGATGAACTGATTAAGCCTGCAATGATTACAAATAGCCCGTTATGATTACAAACACCCCACAACCCAGTCCAAGTTCAAACAACTGGCTGTAGCCAGTTATTTGCCTACAGTTGTAAAGCCTACTGGCTGGCCTACAAATTGTTGTTGTTGGACAACAACATAATTGTTGTTGAACAACAACAATTATTATAGTTTCATTACTGGCTGGCTGGCCTACAACCAGTAGACTTTCCTACAGCTAGTAGGAAATCTACGAAGGTTTTTCCTGCAAATTCAGTGTAAATAATAAACTGCTTGGGCTAAACTCTAACATAAGTAAGATGGGACGAACAACAATACACTGCTAACCTAAGAGAGCGTCTAGAGAGAGTACACACAGTACCATTATCAAAGTACAGTATTCAAGTCACACAGCACTAATAAATATAAACATAGAAAGAGAGCCCAGTTCTCACTAAATGAGAAGAAAACAGTCCCAGAAGTTCTCATACAGAGTTCAGGAGATCAGGGAGAGACTGAGAACACTACCCTGGAAACACAAACCAAAACTGTCTCTATTTTCCGCTTGTTACAACTTGTAATAAAGTTGTTACATCTTGGCTTAACGTGTTTATGACGTATTAGAACGTTGTTACAACTTGCTATATTGGTTGTTATAACTGGTTAGGAAGTGTTAAAACTTGTTCGAACGTTGTACCAACGTCGTAGTTTCGGTGTGTGTTTGGTGGGTATCTCCCAAACACGACAAGGAAGGATGTCAATATATTGTGGATACCTGCCGCTATGTGGAGCGTGATGCCATGTATTGTCTCCATGTGGAGTGTTACGGCCCTCTCGGGTCGCAACTGAGTTCGTACTCTGATGTTATTAGAGGAAGTTGTATCCGGCCCCAAGCCAGTAGTGGCTTTCAAGGGATGAGATCCGTGACGGAAGTAACTTAAAGGGGAAGGGAAATAAAGTTAAGAACTTAAGATTATAATTATTACCATCACCAAATAAATAATATATAAAAGAGTGCACAGGGGGAGGGGTATTAACACTGTACAGAGGAAATACACAATCGTCTTCTCCTGAAGACTCTGGATCCAAACTCTCGGTGCCAAGTCCTTGGTGCTTTCGTGGCCTCACAACGAATCCTTTGAGAAGCCGAGTCTACCCTGGCCACAGGTCAGCCAAAACACAGTTCCACTGGGGGCACCGCCGTGGAGGCCGTCAACCACAAGTCCAGCAGGTCTGCTGGCAGGTTCCGGATCAGCAACGCTGGTCAGGCCACTCCACGAGCGATACTAGGGTAGCGCCCTAGTCAGGAGCCTCGTGTGATACCACAAATCACTCTCCTGTCCTCAATACCCCAGTGGTTAATCGTCTCCAGCAGTCGGTCCCGGGTACGACAACCCTTCACTGCCGCTTCACAGGCAGGGTAACACCACAGTGTTCTTCCGGGAGACGACTTCACAGCTGCTGCAGCAAAGCACAAGGTATGGAGACGGCTGCCTTGGGTAGACTGACTCAACTTCCATCACAGCAGTCCCAGGTCGACTCTGTAAGCAGACACGTCATCAATAACTGGGACACTAAAGCACCTCACTTACAGGCTCAGACACAAACGCCTGACATATCCACTCCATAGATGGCGCTGTTGTCTGAGCACCACCTCACCAGAGGTCAGCAGCGGCGGTGTTGTGTGCTGAACAGGACTGGAAACTGGCCCTTGTGGCCAGTACACCTTGTCCTCACCAGGTGTCGTCGTCCATTTGGTGGGGGTTTCGGGAGCTGACCCACAGATGGCGCGGTCGTCACTGCTCCGTGCTCGGACGCTGGATCCGGGTTCGTAACATGGAGCGTGATGCCATGTATAGTCTCTATGTGGAGCGTGATGCCATGTATAGTCTCTATGTGGAGCGTGATGCCATGTATTGTCTCCATGTGGAGCGTGATGCCATGTATAGTCTCTATGTGGAGCGTTTTCTCCTGACTGAACAGTGTTCTCACCAGACTGAGCAATGTTTTCTCCTGACTGAACAGTGTTCTCACCTGACTGAGCAGTGTTCTCACCTGACTGAGTAGTGTTCTCTCCTGACTGAGCAGTGTTCTCACCTGACTGAGCAGTGTTCTCACTTGACTGAGTAGTGTTCTCTCCTGACTGAGCAGTGTTCTCACCTGACTGAGCAGTGTTCTCACCTGACTGAGTAGTGTTCTCACCTGACTGAGCAGTGTTCTCACCTGACTGAGCAGTGTTCTCTCCTGACTGAGCAGTGTTCTCACCTGACTGAGCAGTGTTCTCACCTGACTGAGTAGTGTTCTCACCTGACTGAGCAGTGTTCTTATCTGAATGAGCAGTGTTCTCTCCTGACTGAGCGGTGTTCTCATCTGACTGAGCAGTGTTCTCACCTGACTGAGCAGTGTTCTCACCTGACTGAGCAGTGTTCTCACCTGACTGAGCAGTGTTCTTATCTGACTGACCAGTGTTCTCACCTGACTGAGCGGTGTTCTCATCTGACTGAGCAGTGTTCTCACCTGACTGAGCAGTGTTCTCTCCTGACTCAGCACTGTTCTCTCCTGACTCAGCAGTGTTCTCTCCTGACTGAGCAGTGTTCTCTCCTGACTGAGCAGTGTTGTCACCTGACTGAACAGTGTTCTCACCAGACTGAGCAGTGTTCTCACCAGACTGAGCAGAGTTCTCACCAGACTGAGTAGTGTTCTCTCCTGACTGAGCAGTGTTCTCACCAGACTGAGCAGAGTTCTCACCTGACTGAGGAGTGTTCTCTCCTGACTGAGCAGTGTTCTCACCTGACTGAGCAGTGTTCTCTCCTGACTGAGCAGTGTTCTCACCAGACTGAGCAGTGTTCTCACCTGACTGAGCAATGTTTTCTCCTGACTGAGCAGTGTTCTCACCTGACTGAGCAGTGTTCTCTTCTGACTGAGCAATGTTGTCTCCTGACTGAACAGTGTTCTCACCAGACTGAGCAGTGTTCTCACCTGACTGAGCAATGTTTTCTCCTGACTTAACAGTGTTCTCACCTGACTGAGCAGTGTTCTCACCTGACTGAGTAGTGTTCTCTCCTGACTGAGCAGTGTTCTCACCTGACTGAGCAGTGTTCTCACCTGACTGAGTAGTGTTCTCTCCTGACTGAGCAGTGTTCTCACCTGACTGAGCAGTGTTCTCACCTGACTGAGCAGTGTTCTTATCTGACTGAGCAGTGTTCTCACCTGACTGAGCAGTGTTCTCATCTGACTGAGCAGTGTTCTCACCTGACTGAGCAGTGTTCTCACCTGACTGAGCAGTGTTCTCACCTGACTGAGCAGTGTTCTCACCTAACTGAGCAGTGTTCTCATCTGACTGAGCAGTGTTCTCACCTGACTGAGTAGTGTTCTCATCTGACTGAGCAGTGTTCTCACCTGACTGAGTAGTGTTCTCACCTGACTGAGCAGTGTTCTCACCTGACTGAGCAGTGTTCTCACCTGACTGAGTAGTGTTCTCTCCTGACTGAGCAGTGTTCTCACCTGACTGAGCAGTGTTCTCATCTGACTGAGCAGTGTTCTCTCCTGACTGAGCAATGTTTTCTCCTGACTGAACAGTGTTCTCACCAGACTGAGCAGTGTTCTCATCTGACTGAGCAGTGTTCTCACCTGACTGAGCAGTATTCTCACCTGACTGAGCAGTGTTCTCACCTGACTGAGCAGTGTTCTCACCTGACTGAGCAGTGTTCTCACCTGACTGAGCAGTGTTCTCACCTGACTGAGCAGTGTTCTCACCTGACTGAGCAGTGTTCTCACCTGACTGAGCAGTGTTCTCACCTGACTGAGCAGTGTTCTCACCTGACTGAGCAGTGTTCTCACCTGACTGAGCAGTGTTCTCATCTGACTGAGCAGTGTTCTCACCTGACTGAGCAGTGTTCTCATCTGACTGAGCAGTGTTCTCTCCTGACTGAGCAATGTTCTCTCCTGACTGAACAGTGTTCTCACCAGACTGAGCAGTGTTCTCACCTGACTGAGCAGTGTTCTCACCTGACTGAGCAGTGTTCTCTCCTGACTGAGCAATGTTCTCTCCTGACTGAACAGTGTTCTCACCAGACTGAGCAGTGTTCTCACCTGACTGAGCAGTGTTCTCACCTGACTGAGCAGTGTTCTCACCTGACTGAGCAGTGTTCTCACCTGACTGAGCAGAGTTCTCACCTGACTGAGCAGTGTTGTCACCTGACTGAGCAGTGTTCTCACCTGACTGAGCAGTGTTCTCACCTGACTGAGAAGTGTTCTCACCTGACTGAGCAGTGTTCTCACCAGACTGAGCAGTGTTCTCACCTGACTGAGCAGTGTTCTCACCTGACTGAGCAGTGTTCTCACCTGATTGAGCAGTGTTCTCACCTGACTGAGCAGTATTCTCACCTGACTGAGCAGTGTTCTCACCTGACTGAGCAGTGTTCTCACCTGACTGAGCAGTGTTCTCATCTGACTGAGCAGTGTTCTCACCTGACTGAGCAGTGTTCTCACCTGACTGAGCAGTGTTCTCTCCTGACTGAGCAATGTTCTCTCCTGACTGAACAGTGTTCTCACCAGACTGAGCAGAGGTCTCACCTGACTGAGTAGTGTTGTCTCCTGACTGAGTAGTGTTCTCTCCTGACTGAGCAGTGTTCTCACCAGACTGAGCAGAGTTCTCATTTGACTGAGTAGTGTTCTCTCCTGACTGAGCAGTGTTCTCACCTGACTGAGCAGTGTTCTCTCCTGACTGAGCAGTGTTCTCACCAGACTGAGCAGTGTTCTCACCTGACTGAGTAGTGTTCTCTCCTGACTGAGCAGTGTTCTCACCTGACTGAGCAGTGTTCTCTCCTGACTGAGCAGTGTTCTCACCAGACTGAGCAGTGTTCTCACCTGACTGAGCAATGTTTTCTCCTGACTGAGCAGTGTTCTCACCTGACTGAGCAGTGTTCTCTTCTGACTGAGCAATGTTTTCTCCTGACTGAACAGTGTTCTCACCAGACTGAGCAGTATTCTCACCTGACTGAGCAATGTTTTCTCCTGACTTAACAGTGTTCTCACCTGACTGAGCAGTGTTCTCACCTGACTGAGTAGTGTTCTCTCCTGACTGAGCAGTGTTCTCACCTGACTGAGCAGTGTTCTCACCTGACTGAGTAGTGTTCTCTCCTGACTGAGCAGTGTTCTCACCTGACTGAGCAGTGTTCTCACCTGACTGAGCAGTGTTCTTATCTGACTGAGCAGTGTTCTCACCTGACTGAGCAGTGTTCTCATCTGACTGAGCAGTGTTCTCACCTGACTGAGCAGTGTTCTCACCTGACTGAGCAGTGTTCTCACCTGACTGAGCAGTGTTCTCACCTGACTGAGCAGTGTTCTCACTCTGACTGAGCAGTGTTTCTCACCTGACTGAGCAGTGTTCTCACCTGACTGAGCAGTGTCTCTCACCTGACTGAGCAGTGTTCTCACCTGACTGAGCAGTGTTCTCATCCTGACTGAGCAGTGTTCTCACCTGACTGAGCAGTGTTCTCATCTGACTGAGCAGTGTTCTCACCTGATGAGCAGTGTTTTTCTCCTGACTGAACAGTGTTCTCACCAGACTGAGCAGTGTTCTCATCTGACTGAGCAGTGTTCTCACCTGACTGAGCACCTGACCCTGAGCGTGTTCTCACCTGACTGAGCAGTGTTCTCACCTGACTGAGCAGTGTTCACCTGACTGAGCAGTGTTCTCACCTGACTGAGCAGTGTTCTCACCTGACTGAGCAGTGTGACTCTCACCTGACTGAGCAGTGTTCTCACCTGACTGAGCAGTGTTCTCACCTGACTGAGCAGTGTTCTCACCTG